TAAACATCTTTTACACCACACCCAAATTATGACATAGTCACATTGTCTTCTAACAAAGTTGTTATAAATTATTTTCGAGAAATTTAAAAAGATTTTTATATATGAGATTTAGGCTTATATCGTTGAAATATCTTAGCGATATTAATAGCTAGTAGAAATAGATAGTAAATATATTAAGTCGATATTATAGTGATATAATAAAGAAATATATATAATAGATTCTCAGTTTTCTCTAAATGCGTGCAGTAGCCGGGTAAACCTCGGTGTTCAGACTTCTGTCCACACCTGGTGCTTGTCAATTAACTCGTTGGTTGGAGTTAGTATTTGTTGGAATCAGCCAATAGGAGGCCAGCATGGCTACGCTACTAAGTTCCAAATAGGTGTTGTGACTACTCCTCATGGTGGCAAATAGCCTTATGGTGGCAAATAGCCTTAGCGTGGGCTTCACACCATAGATAGGTAGTCCACCTCCATCCTTCCTACATACTTCATAGAACATGACAATAGAATAACTATTCTACATGATATGAGACCATTGAATGCACACATTATCCAATAGTATTCGACGTTATGCACCGTGCTATGTCAATCATGAGGATGCACTGGACTGCAGCTACGACGGAAGGTCCGAAAATCGTCGTCGTGATCCGTCAGCACCCGTCCAACCTTTGCCCTCTTCGCCCCAAACATTCCAAGCTTGGCAGTCAGCGCTCCTTATTGACACTCCTCCCTTATTAACAGTCCTCACGAATTTCTCATGCGCTATGAGTCCAGATAAGCTCTAGATGGTTGAGAATTCTTGCTAAGCCCAGCGCCACCACTGGCCCCACGTTCTTCGCCTCAATGATCCGTGTGGAAATAGCGAGAGGAATCGCAAGGTCATGTTCATCATCGGCGTGGCGCTAATGAATTCTTTCTGATTTCTGATTGATCATCGGCGTAGTCCGGACGAGAATCCCCGAGCACGACCGAATGGCGTGGAGTAAGTGCATGTTCGCTTCTTCAGCACATGCTGCAGGTAACCAAGAGAGCTCGAATAGCTTCGAACTGTCCACTCTTTCGAGTTGTTTCATGGATATGTTCGGCCTTGACTCGCCCGCGATCAATTCCGAAGTCCAGTCGGTAGCGTTGGTTCAAAAAATCTATTTGGTCTACTTTCTGCATTTCTGAAAACCAACATCGATGCGAAAAATCATTCACGATGATTCGCTTGTATTATTTTGATGGTATGAATCAGGCCTTTTGGCAAGGAACGAGCTAAGAGCTGATGAGTTCCGTGGTGTGTAAGTATGATTGATTATTCAGTCTATCTCAGCAAAAAGGCTAGCTATGTCAGGCTTTGCCATAAGACCTATGGCCAAGAGGCAATTGCTACCCCTCACAATGCGTGGCGCGATCAGACGCCTTAACACCTCTTCTGATGATTTTTTTTGGCCTTTTTGAACGGCAATGGTCGGTCTACAGTGCTGCAGTAGCCAGACTTCCCACCTGATGTGTCTGTTCTGCATATTGATATTACTCACCTTTTCCCAGCAACGAGACTCATCTTTTTCTTTGACAATCCTGTCGGTTCTTTAGTGTCATGAGGACGGCAGGTTATCCTTCTTTGTTGGAATTGGAAACCCGTCGCTACAGAGACGTTGCCAGTAAACGCAAGCTTTCTGGACCAGTGGAGACTGCGGTCGGCCGCTCCTTCAACGAAAGGTAGTTGGATATGAAAGTATTCGATTCAGGCCGCTATGCGAATTCATAGAAATAGTAACAACGCTCAACATATTAGCACGGTGATTATATTGATATAAAACCACTGGTTGAGATCTCCCTTGTCGAATCTTGCTCTACTCACAGTCTAAGTACTGCATTCCCTTTCCAGAAGCACGAATGTGTCCATAAATGGTCAATCAACTCAGTAAAAGGACATGCAAATTTCAGGTCCTTGGCCACGACAGGCAGACGACTACTTCATGACTGAGCTATCGAATTGCATGGTGAGATCGAAGTTAATAGAGCATACATAATTCGTGACGCTAGTTGAGCCTTGCCCAAGCCAATGATCCCCGGAATCGGCGAGCCTGAGTCTGTCCGCCGATTTAGTATGATGAACGGCCTAATCTGCACCTTCGCGAGACATTTCGGGCCTCTACGGGTTTTCGAAATTAGGCGGATGAGTAGGCTCCAGTGACATCAGCCAATTGCTCCCATAACACCTGCAATGACTTTCGCTCACGCCCCATAATTGTCGGTCTATACTCGGTGCCTCTGTTAAGCGCTCTTTCCTGTCTCAGAGGTCGGAAGAGATGCGATTTTGACCTTTGAAAACCAGCTTGCAAGCCCAGAAGGTCTGCCCAGCAAGGTGGAAAGATAGATCAAGATGGACGGTAACACGATCACTATAGATTCAAATACCACAGGAGTTGACAACTCAGCTGGTCTGAGGATTCGTTTGCTGGAAGATCTTGGAGAGGTTGGTAAACAACGATCTTAACATTAGTAGTGGGTCTACTAGAGGGGAACAGAGGACCCATGTTAGAACCATGTACCCGCCAGTTCTGCTGAAAAGCCATTTGAGTAACATCTTAAACGTCGATGATCGCAATCGGATAAATTTCCTAGTCTCTCATATGGTCGCTGTCAGCTGGCTCCACTGTCTCCAACCCGGCACCGTAAGGCACCTCTAGAGGATGATTCGCTTATAGATATTCCTTCTGCTAGCGCAAGCATCTCCACTCAAGAGCGTTATCTATTACAACTGAAACTGGAAAGTTGCTACGCAGACTACTATGGCCAATAAGATAACAAGTCCCGAGGCGGGTACCAACAAGATATTTGTGCCACCTATTACAGTTCGATCAAAGAGAGCGAGTGGTGTAAGGGTAGATGCATCTATCTAAGCCAAGTAATGCATACTCGTAATTTGATGCGTGCAACTAGCGACCCTCAGCTCTCCAGACCCAATCTGTCGTACGCCACCCACCATCCGCCATCCGCCATCTGTAGCCGATGCCTTAAGAGGTATCAGTCTCATTCTGTACCCTGGGACCCGGCGCCGCCTTCAAAGTCACTCTAAGCCCGCTTGGCAGGCCAGAGATGCCGGCATACCCTCGAAGCGTGCATATAGCAGTCACGGCCACGGCACCAGCCCATACATCAAACCAGCGAGCATCGACACGATTACGATGTTCTACATCGACTTTTAAGCTCGCGCCGATAGCCCAGCGCGCTATGTTACGTCAGCGACACAGCTGGCCCTGGAGCAAACGCGAAGGTGTGAAGATGGCGAACGCTCTTAACGGGATTGGACTCACAGGGGCCGGGAGGCCAGTTGTATGTGACTGGCACCTCCACCTGTACCCCAGATTCTCCTTCTGGACCAAATATCTGGCGTTCGGTGTTGACAGGGATTATAGACAACAGCTTTTGCGAGATCTGGGCAGGATCTCTCATAGCGAATTGCTGACCAAAACATGCGACGGAGGGTTCGTAGAGACTCAGTACTATCACCAGGTTTTTTTGCCGCCCTTCGTAAGTACTTGGTCAGATGATCAATCTCAATCTTGGTAGTGGACTGCTAGACAAAAGGCACCATGCGTGCCCAGCATCGGATGACTAAGGTACTAGATATCGTTGACTGATGGCCCCAGGCCGCATGATGACTCCATAACACAGGGTACGAACAGAGAGTCAAGGTGCGACATACCTATATCTCTTATCCAGCCACCTTGGGTGCGCGTGCCTCCTCTCACGACACAAACACCGTACAAGCTCTCTGCCGCCCTTGAGATCTGTTGGTAAGAAGCAATGTCCGATATAACACCGTCTTTATGAAAGATATCGATAACGCAGGTAGCGTCCGCTTTTGGAGTTGAAACAGAGTTAGTTTGTATTAAGTTAGATTAACCACGAGATATACTGTTGCTGCCAAGAAAGCGCAATACACTCACGACCACTGAAGCGACGAGGGAGTTGGACATTAAAAGTCCCATTTGACCTATCGCCGAAAGTCAAAGGTTGACGGATGGTTGGAATCGTGTTAAAGGCTTGGAGACAGCTGTATCTGTTCATGTCGAAGCCGAGAAGATTACCGTTACAGACGGGAGCTGAATTGTCCGCATCGAATGAGAAGTTCGATATCAGAGCTGGAAGATCATGCGGGGGCGATGCAGGCCTCTGGAATGTCTCATTTATCGGTGACGCTAATAGTAGAGAGCTTGTGAGGTCTTGGAAAGGTGGCAGAGTGAGTGTAAGAGTAACAGAGGTTAGAAATGGAGAGATACAGCCTATGTAAAACATAAACGGAAACATTGTTCAACCTGTTAAACACCAAGGGTGGTTGATGAACGGTTGCTCAATCTAAATTTTGCGACAATTAACATCCTCACCCATTGTTCGATAAGCGCTCACAGTCGAAAGTTATTGATAGGACGGGGTCGGTTACCTACACAAGCGCATGGATGCGCGGAACGCATATCGACGAGGATTCAAGTCAGGAAAAAAATCGCGTCGTGCATATATTTAAAGATGCTCTAAGTGGATATAGTATCAAAAATGAGGCACAGAAGAGGATTTGAAGTACTCGGGTGTGAAGTCAAAGATTCTTTTCTACACAGTACCGCAAGACAGACTCCTGAGAGTTAGGCATTGCTTCTTCGTTCACTCAAAGTGCCCTCATCCGAATTGAAGCACGTGTGAACGCCAAGCTCCCTGAGTCTTTTTCGATAAAATTCTAAAATAGATGGTAGAGGGTCCCTCGTCTTAGCTGGACAAAAGCACCGATCATACTTCCAAACTTTACAAGGTCACTGGCAGCTCCGTGACTTCAACATTCATCGTTGACGGCGTGTACGGCAGCTCTGATGGGTCCTTCGCATGTCTCAGGTTCGGAAGCCTTGGGAAAAGAGTCGCTGTGCATACAGCGCGAATCAGCATATCATTTCACATTGAGTAGATTGACTGAAGTCAGGTTACATACCGAACACGATCTCCAACTCGTCGCGCGAAAGCTATTCTCCCTGACAGCGATGTGGGCCATAGCCGACCCCGACTGTATCTCGCGTGACATGCTTCCGGTGGACACCGAGTATGTTGGTGTTCTCGTAAGGGTCTTCGTCGCGGTCTGCGGACCGAACGGAGCAGACTACGCCATCGCATTTCTTGGTGTGCTGCGGAATCAGTGAGTCTAGGAATTCCTGGGTGGTCGCTAGTAAGACGCACTTTGCCGCCAATGGTAGTATCTTCTAGCGCAGCGCGGCGACTGTTCAATGCAGATGCCGTCTGGTAACGAAGGCACTCATTCACCACATTCTTTGCAAGTGAGGGATCTCCCTTGAGCTCTTCGAGCTCTTCTGGATATAAGAAGAGTGTGAGAACACCCTAAAACCGGAAGGTTATAAGTCGAGACATTCATCTGCTATGAGACAGGGCGGTTGGGCATACCAGAGCGATAGATTTAATCAGGGCGGCATTACGGGCCACATAGACTAAGAAGGCGAGGTTGGAGACATATTTTCTCTGGAGGGTTTCCATTATTATACTATAAACTGTTAGGCTGATGTTAGTCTACAAGATAAGAATTGGAACTTCTTGAAGGCTATAGACTTACCTGCTCCGTCGCAAGCTTGCTGACAAGATCATCTTGGAGTTTCTGGATCCTCTTCTCTACCAGCTTGTGCATATACTTCTTTAAATTGCTGTTTGTAGGGCTACCAGTCTCTGAAGACTTCCCAGCTGAGGGTATAAGGACTTACCTGGTGGAACTCTGGGCCTTTCGGCTTGTACCAGTGCGGACCTCGCTGTGATGAGTCAAAGAACCGATATCATCTTCCGAAACGTCAAGCACTCGGTATATTATCTTTACAAATGGTCAGGGAGCTCTCTCGGGTCGTCTCGGGCGCTATTGGCCGATTTGAAAATTGCTTAGGGTCACTTGGGTGGGTACTCGTGTTGTGCATTCCTCAACCAAAATGAACCGTTCCTTCTTGATCATTTCATCAAGAATCTGATTGATCTACAACATCGGACGCATCTTGGCGACAGCTTCGGTTATGAATGAGCTCTCAAGCATGTTTTCGAGTTGCGATATGGTTAGATCTGCGCGAAAGTCTAGAGACCATCTCTCGCCTTTGCTTCTTGTGGTCCGGGTCATCCATGTTCACAACATTAGGTCTTTGACCTTTAGCGTTCCAGCCACCTTCGTGAATCTTGGGGTTCCCAGGAGTTCTACGGTCCTAGAAAGGTATGAGCGATCAAAGGAAGCAACATTCTTGAGTGTAGATCGGCTTCTTAGAGCTTACGACGGATGGCTTGTTCGACTCCAACGCTTCGCACACGTCTTTATGCTTCCAGACCATCCAAACGTCGGTTCTATCGAAGAGCTTGGCTTTGGATACAGGAGCATTGTGGCACGATTTCTCATTCTCCTGGGGTGATTTGTATTTCTCGTGGCGAGCGAAGGGAAACTGAGGCATCTCTACGAGCAATTCAGCACTTGATAGTGATCAGCCATTGGCTTGTAAGCCAGGCGTACCGTTGGTGGAACCCATGACGCGTAAGGGCTGGTTTTCGAAGGCCAGCAGTCAGGTTAATGGTCACAATGGTGTTAGTGTTATTCTGCTTCGAGACATAGGGAAACGGAGAAATTAAAAATCGGGATTGTTTTAACGATTATAGAACATTTTGTTTACTCCGCTCTACGTACCTATTGCTCCAAACGGCATCCATCATCTATCATCCAAGGGAAATCATCTGCAGGGCCATCAGCGATTATTACTTCTTCCCATCCCCAGAATCAGCTCCCAAGTTGCAGAGTGCAAGAGCTCCGTGTAGACAGCCGTTGGGCTGCCCTCTCCCAGGATCATCGTCACTGGAGTGGCTCCGTGGTGCCATCGTTTGCCGCGTGATCGGTGTGCTGCGGCTCACCACCATAACAACTAATTATGGAGGAATAGGATAGATCGTTCCCGCTGTTTTCCGTCAAAGGCTGTACTTGTATTCAACCCTGTTTTCTGAGATATAAAATATATATATTATCAATTTATTGACTCCAGGCCACCATTTCAGGGTCTTCAGGGTCTTCAGGGTCTTCAGAGTGACGGGTGATTTAAGGCTGATTTAGAGTTGCGGCTCTCAGAAGGTAATCTTACTTTACTGTTGTTGTTTTAATTCTTGGCGCTGCTGGCCCTGGAACTAGGGTGGTGCTGGTTGCAACTTAACCACGGGAGCTACCGGCAAAAGGTTATCCATAACCGGACCGCACCCTCACCGAGGCATACAGCCCAACCGGGTTCTCGATCCTTTCCACATACCTCAATTCCATTGCTTCCTTCGTCGCATTAGAAACCTCTTCATGCCTCGCTTACCCAGTTCTTGGTCTTTCGAAATGTCTTCCGAGATCATCGATAGAAGGCGCTTACCTCGGCCCATACGCTCCACAACCATCTACTCTCTACTTCTTCGGTGAAGACCTGATGCTCTTCCCGACAACGTGCATTACTGCGTAGAAATCATCTATGACATCCAAGAAAGCCTGTTCGTTTATGAATATCACTCGCCGCGACGATTTCACCTGAAAGGTGCCCCCTACAAGCTCCACTCTGCCGTCGAAGACTCTTGTCAGTAACTTTGAACATCAGCCATGGGCTATGCAAAAAGAGATGGTTTGGTTCCTTCGGGAGTGAGGCCTATGCGGACATCGGTCGACGATCTGAAGGACTCTGACGAAGAGATGCCGAAGTAAAAAGGCTGTTCAAAGGGCGGGCATGGTCACAATAAGGAGCTTCGTCTACACTGGATTGCGTTATGCTGTCAGGAGCAGTCGATGTGGAGGAAAATATTTCAAGCATAGTGCACTGAGAGGATATGTGTTTGAGGCGGGAATACGCGATTTGGAAAGGGATCTTGATCAGGAGGATATACACGTAAATCTTGAAGACCAAATTACACATGCTGCTACCCAAGAGCCATCAATGCCCTAGTCCGCTGCCATTGAGACTTGAATGTCTTTCCGTCTCTTCCGACACAGCCATGAAACTCGAGCTTCGGACAGGAGGAGTAGAAGGCGCTAGGGTATCCGATAAACGCCGAGAGGCAACAGATTTCGCCCTATGTTGCCGGGGTCTCGGCGTTTATCGGATACGCTTGAGGACGTGTCGGAGCATACGCATGAGGCGACGGCGAATGATATCCTCGACGGTACATAGGCGGAGGGCAGAAACAAATGGCGAGAGTTAAGGAGGAGGAAGTCGTTGCTGCTGTTGACGTGAGGCCATTCTGGCTGGCTGGCTAGGGTCCGGCTAGCCATTCTCTTGAGCACGAGAGGACGGCTTCTTAACCATTTTGGACGGCGAGAGGGGTGTGCTGACCCCTGTCATGTGGAATGAGGAATGTGGGATGATGAACCTAGTCACCCTTGCTTGGTTCGGTGAGGGAGTTGCGATTGTCCTAGCGCCAAGAATAGTACCTTAAGGATCAGTGGAGATCTACCTTAGTCACGTTATCTAGGCAAAAGGATGTGGTTCCGTAGGAAGCAGAAGGTGCTAAACTGAAGGGGCTTGGCAAACGGAAGCTAACTCGAAGAGGCCTAGCGAGCTTAGCACGTCTGAGGGACTGAGGCAACCCCCACTATCTGGTTGCTTTATGCTCACTCATACCATCAACCCTTCAATATACACCTGTCCTTCTCCTATCAGCTTCAGCTCACTGCGGAGAGCGAAGCCTTGTCTATACATTGTATATCCTGCCCATAGGATCTCTCAAATACATTTCGCGCCTACTGAAACGTGACAATGGTCTCCGCTCACGTATTCAAGCTTTGCCAAGAGACGCCGACTGTGAGCTCCGAGTTCGCCAAGAACCCATCAGAGGCGCCTACAGAAATCGCCAAACGACTCTATGGCACCACAAAGCCTGCTACGAAGCATGACTTCCCCGGAGTCGACCGGCCCTCTGCTTCAGTTGCAGATCTCGAGCGAGCGCTGCAATGTGGGAAATGGGGTCCCTCGCCGCCAAGTGAGTTCTTCTTGAGAGTTTGGAATGATGTGCTATCTTCTCTCGACGCGGACGCCTTGGGTGGCATGGTCTCGCCGCCATTGATGGGCAGCTACGGCACCATGCCATTGACCGTCATTGCCCCACTTGCTGATATCGTCCGCCACATGTCCAATCTTATAGTAAGGGCGGAGAGGGAAGTCTTCTTGATCACTTGCTCTTGGTCGCCATCTGTTGCCGTTCACCTGGTAAGCGATGCCTTGAAGGAACTTTCTAGGAGAGCTGGTCAGCGCGGTGAGCGCGTGGTCGTCAAGGTCATGTATGATAAGGCCGGCGCTGCCCAGTTCATCAACAATCGCCAGCCAGTCAAACCAGAAGTGTACTCAGGGTAAGCTTTCTCTATGCATGAGGCAATTCCCAAAGTATTGGGGGCTAAGGGAAACCAGTGAAAAAATCCAACTGCCGAAGCCGGAAGAGATTCCGCATATCGACTTTGAAGTCATCAACTTCCACAAGCCTTTGCTCGGAACTCTTCATGCGAAGTTCATGGTCGTGGATAGGAAGGTTGCCATTATCGAAAGCAACAACATGGAAGATAACGACAATGTGGAAATGATGACACATTTTGAAGGCCCTATCGTTGATTCCATCTACGACACTGCCCTCGTTACATGGGGCAATGCTTTCAAGACCCCACCACCAAGCGCTAATGCTCCTGCTACCGCAGGCGGGCTTCCCACCAACCAAGCCAGCGAAGGCTTATTCACAGACCGAGAGCCTGCGCGAGAACAACACCAAATTGTTCTGGACGGTCAGGCGGCACAGCTCCCAGAGCATATGCCCGGCGACCCACATTATGATTCGGACATGGCGGGTGAAATCACTCGGATGCAATCATGCTACTCGGCCAAGCCCAATGAGTCACGCCTTCAAGCCACGAACAGGCAGCTCAACCTAGCATGCACTAAGCCCATTGGCCCAACGGCGCCAGAGATACCCGACGGTGATGAGTTCACACCATATATTCCTATTTCCACTCCCACGCCTTTCCCAATCGCACTTGTCTCTCGACCTCCCTATGGAGAACCCAACAACGGAAATGTATTTGTGCCTCAGAATGAAGCTTGGCTGTCCTGCATTCGCAATGCAAGGTCCTCCGTCTTTATCCAGACACCAGATCTAAACGCCACCCAGCTCCATTCCGCTCTCACCGCCGCTCTGAAGAGAGGCATCGAGATCACCTACTATGTCTGCCTCGGCTACAATGACGCTGGTGAGATCATGCCCGGCCAGGGCGGTACCAACGAAATGTTTGCCGGCAAACTTGTAGACTCTCTCAGCGAGCCTGAGCGCAAGCTCCTTCACGTCTGTTACTACGTTGGCAAAGATCAAGACCATCCAATCCACCACAATTTCAAGGCTCGCAGCTGCCATGTGAAGTTGCTCATCGCTGACGGCCACATCGGTATCCAAGGATCCGGAAACCAGGATACACAGAGCTGGTACCACAGCCAGGAGATCAACGTCATGATCGATAGCGAGGAGATGTGTCGGAAGTGGCGAGAAGGAATTGAACGTAACCAAAACACGGCGACGTATGGGAAGGCTGGTGTAGATGACGGAGTGTGGAGAGATCAGAATGGCAAGGAGGCGGAAGGTAGCATGGGGAAGCCGAGTACAGCTATGGGGTGGGTAAAGGGCACGATGGGGATGGTAAAAAAGGCACAAGAGAAGGGCGGGTTCTGATGATTGTCAGAACGGGATTCATGCTCCGGTATTGCGGATACATTTCGTATAATTCTTGCTTGTACTCGCGCATTAGCTAGTGGTATTCAAGAAAGCGTAGAGCCATGACCTTCTTCTGTCCGCCAGCCTCGGAATATCTGAGCAAAAGACGCTCAACAGGGAAACGTGCCTTCGGGGCTACCGCGCTACAACTGTCGATAGTTCCGCTCACATCAGGAAACATGGACTCTTCGAGATTGAATAGGAAAGACTGCGAGAGTAAATCAGAAGAATAAGGTGGCGAGGAAGACGGATCGGACAGAGGAAACACCCAAAACATTTTCCTTTCTTTCTCCCTTCCACCTTTCCCCTCCCCCGTTCATCACCCCTGAAGCTTTCGTGCAAATATGAATACCAACATCTGCGCTACCTTCTTTCCTTTATCAATGCTTTCATGCGCATTCGATATGCCGACTACCAGTTGCAACCCAGCTCTCTCCAGCAAGGCCATTGTACTAGTACAGGCAATGACCCATTCCTACTCTCTCCCTGTAAGCCCTCAGGTCTATAATTTGGTGACCTAGGGCCAACATGAGAGCAATGGGTCATGTAGCGTTTTGTACACGTCGTCAATGATGAATGTAAGGCTTGGGAACCGGCCTGTGACTTGTTAAAGGTCGAAAGCTGGCGGAATGCCTCGACCGAGCCTAGACTGGGGAAGCTTCTCGACCTAGACTGTTAGTGCACTGAATGATGAAATAAACGCTCTTTACTCAGCCCACTATTCAGAAAATTTCACACCACATCAAAATGCAGAACAAACGGTATTCCCTTTCTCAACGATGCTCGACCAACGGCATTGCACCCAGAAGACTCTACGAAAGTCGCTCCTAGGCACACAACTACGATTCGAAAACTTCAATTAATTCGCAAAATCCAATTTCTACAAGCTTGCCAAACCGAGACTACCTTTCTTCAGCCTCCAAATCCCAATCACGACCCCTTCCCTTCTCAACTCGACATCAACCTCACCAAACCTTTTCTTCGCCACCGTCCACCGCGACGAAATCCTCATCGTTTTAATCAACGAACGATACTTCAGGTAGACCGCCCAGGCGTATCAAAGATCAGCATCACGTCAACCTCATCCTTTTGATCGCCCAGACAGGCTCGCTCCGGGCCCTTTCCGCCGGCCGGGCCCATTCCGGACAGCGCTGTGGTGAAGACTCCATTGCTCGTCATCGGGAGACCGTCGTACGTGGGGGCGACCTCGAGTTGCGGAAGGGCCAGGGGCGTCGCTGGTTCCAGATTCGAACGTCAAACCTCAGGACCGGCCGACAACAGCAAAACATCCGACCTCATAGTTCCTACCACGGCACCGCCAGCGCTCGCGTCCAAAGACGACTTGAAAATCGTAGCGTGCGGCAAGCTCGCCCGAAGCGCAAAGTTGACTCTACCTTGATAACGCTGCCGCCAAGAGAGTCTGCCGGAACAGGGCTGGAACGCGACCGGGGCACCACTGATTATCTTCCCAGTCGCCTGCAGGCGGTAACCCTTCACTGTACGCGAGTGGACACGATGTCGATATAGACGTCGTATTGGGACAGCGACCAAGAGTAGAGGGGCGTCGAGGGCAACTCTGCGCTTTGGTCCATGAAGACCAGATCTTCCATGACGGCGACAGCGTTTTGGGAGACAGCGATTTCGGCCGGCAGTGCGGCTTACAATGCGTTGCAGTTGGAAGCCGGATCGACCACAATGATGGTTTGACTTTGGGAAGTGCAGGAGATTTACTGTTATCGTGTGCAGTGGAGCATCTTTCTCTGAACATGAAAGTCGAACTCTACGTATTCAGAAGGGCCAGCGGTGAAGTCTCCGATGGGCTCACGATAAGACTATCGCACATTGTCTAGTGTGGGAAGAGACCGGCTGATGAGCACAGTCGAACATGTTCATGCATGTATTATTACAGAAATGGCTGCTCTAACCACACCAGTAGATTGAGCAAGACTTTAACTTTCTGAAAATAGAGGATGTAAGGTAAGTCAAAGGGAGGTTAGCAAAGTTGAAGGTAGCTCCGTTCGAAATACCAGGTACAATTAAAGGCGGCTAGGCGCTAACAGCCATTGAGGCAATGAAAATGAGCGACCCTATTACGATATATGTGAACGTTTTCGGTGAACTTCTTTTTGTTTCCAGCCGACAGGCGGTTTTGCCAGTGCCGGTGAGTGCCTTCACAGCCTCCGATAAGTCCAGTGCCACTTTAGTGCGCACGCTGGAAAGAAGGAAGGCTGGAAGTGAGACATTCTGAAATCCTGGTAGATGTGGTCTTAAAATTTCACCCAAGCTATCTCAAGGCGCGAAGAACGAGGATCGGGGTCTGCGTTTGGCCTGACTGCCCGCCTCAATCGTTTGTTCACCGTCTGCATGCTTGCGCGTTCGCTTGATTTTTCCCTTGCATGTGTACTCATAATCTAAGTTGGGTTAGCGAACATCTCTGCACAGAATAAATGAATCATAAAAGTACTCTTGTCAGCACACAACCTGTGCAATAGCTCATGCAAGGCATCATAGTTGCGAACTGCATGGTCTTTGGGGGCAAGAGTCCCACGGTCTCGATGCGCCAACATGTCATCAGCCTGAACACGATCTTGGTATGTTGGCTCGCTCCATCTATAGGGAATGCACGCGCTGAGGTCGAAGTGTGATGAGTAAAAGCCATCATCATCAACGTTATCATGCATAGTCTGGTAGTACCATTTTTCGAATGCATTGCTTGTCGGCTCTTGGTAAAGTTCCCAGGTGCGGAAATAGACCGACGTATCAACGTGCTTGCAGAACAGTCTGAAGTGCATTGGAATGATGTCCCTTATCTCCCAGTGCTGAATGTCGTCCGCGGAAGCCTTGCCTCGTGAAGGCATTATACAGAATTCGAAGCGTATCAACTTAGGCATGTTTAGAATAGCTCTCCAGCACTGTCGCATGAGCTGAGTCCGGTTTCCTGATCTTGTAGTTCTATCGTTGCCGGCGTCCGATACCAAGTCGACCCAATCCGCCTTGCGTAAAGCTTGTCCATCTACTCCGTCCCCGATGAACTTCGGATCTTCATCCATGTAGAGAAGGAGCATCCTTATGTACTTGCCGGGCTCCACTACAAGCGAGAAAGGGCAGCTCTGGAGGAAAGTACAAAGCACTTTGGCGTCAACACCAAACATGATTTTCGACTGGTAAAGTGCTTCCGCAGCGGCGGCAGCAACACCCGATCCTACGACGGCAGCATCGAGGCACGAAACAACCCCTGAGTAATCGCGCTCATGGTATTTGTCGGTAAATTTGTATGTGATCCCTTCTGCCGTGTCCTCCACTCTGATGACCTCTCGGCACCCGGACTGGGCAAAGACACGGTGAAAGATCTTGAGGCGAACTTCATGTGGAAGACGAGAGAGCATACTGGCGGCGACGCGCTCAAAAGCTGAGTTTAAAGATGGCTCAACACGAGACAACAAGGAAGTGTCCTCTTCACATCAGTGCAGAGTGAGAGAAGAGTTGGCAAATGCAGTTCCTAGCGCGCCAGCGCGCCAGCGCAAGTCTTGCGCGCTAGTCCGAATGGAGTAGGTATAGACGAGATGCAAGTCTCACGAAGAACCTCCTCTTCCCTCTACACTGTCGGTCAAGCACTTTATTCCCCACTTTATTCCCCACTCTCGCCTAAACAGTCTAACAGTGTCCATTCATGTACATCCACAAGGCTTTTATAATACGAACCTCCTGAATCTCTCAGGAGAATTGGAGTACCAGAACCGACACGTGCAGGATCTTTCGTGTTTGGTAATCATACACCGGCCAAAACCCTCGAGCGCTCTCTCCATCTTGCTCTTCTTCCCAGAGATCTTCACCCTTCCGCCATTAGCATGCATCGAAAGCCCTTGTTCTTCGAAAAGAAGACTCATCCCACTTAAGTACTCGAAACTGTGGATCCGGCTCTCAGACTCGCCGGCAGCTACTTCCCTTGAAACCAGATATCTGCCTTGCATTCGCGTCAAAACTTCTCTGTCTGGTAGACAGACCGACTCCCAGCCGTGGCCGTGAATGTATCCAAAGCTCATGTCGTCTACCCTTGCTCCAGCTTCGATCTCGATTCAAATTCTCGGCAGGAAATCAAGCGGAACGAATCCTGGCCAGCAGCAATCATCCTCGCTAAGTTTATCCAGCTTGAACTGAGCTGGAACGAGGCGATTCAGGCTGTGAAGGGACTTTTCTTCCATCAACAGCGCAAAGACTTGATCGCGACGATCAAGGCCAAGTGGCCGGTCATCGTGCCATATCTTAGCCCTGTGCATCTTCGGGTGGTTCTTGAGCCGTCTATTGCACTGTGAAAATTGGGATGAGTAGGACAGGGGTCAGCCTTCGGAGACAAGAGTATCAGGGTTCGGTATCTTGATAGGATCACATCTCTTAATATTTGAACTCTCATGTCCGAGACCCTTTTACAGACAGCATTACTCGTTCTCGATTTGTCGCTGAGTTTACTTTTTGTACTTGAGGTTCGCTGATGCGTCTATTGCAAGCAACAAGGTTTGCTCTTCAATAATATCAAGACGCTATGACTGTAGTAGCGATGCTGTATATCTACAAACATAGGTACTTTTACACCAAAGAGTATGGCAGCTTACTCCGGTGAGGTCGCAGTACTCTTCCATGCATCTTCCCGGATCCAGAAGAGCTCAATCACAGTATCCATATCCCCATCCATGCCCAAGTGCCGATAATACTGCCTCACGCCGCCATCAACCTTGACGCCCGCCAAGAACCTATACGGGATCTTCTCGTCCTCAAGCTTCAACGGCGTTCTCAGCGGCCCCAAATAGTGATCCCACCCTTCATTGTGAGAATCTTCAACCTTCATCGGCGTGACCCACGTATATTCCATCTTGTCCAATCGCAACGGCTTCTCCTTTTTCGTTGAAAGCGCGCCTCTCGGATACAGGGAGATGGAGTAGCCGTTACTGAGAATCATGTCTGTGCCGAACTGCCAGCGTTGTAAGTAGCATTTATCGCAGACGTCTGTAACAAGGGACATTTGGTCCATGGGGAACCATCTCTGATGTCTGATACCATCGGGACCTCTGCCATTCTCGTCCCAATAGCCCTCTTTCCAGTGGTGCAGAGTTAGTATCTGCCGGCCACTCTCAAACACTCCTGACCGATCGCCATGGATGTCGATTTGGTGCAGACCCGGTAAAGAAGTGAGCGGAGTCTTGGTGTACCTCTCTATACACTCGTAGATCTTATGGTCGCCAAAACCCATTCGAGAATTTCCCTTGCATTCGTCATGATTTGCATCAACAATTTCGGCTAGTGGCACTGAAAGGAATATGCCACCACCACCCATCCCTATCAGACCATAGAGTACGACCGTCCACCATTCTTCCGATAGCGCGCCAAGATACCTAAGCTGCGTGTGATCATACCTGTCGAGAGCGGAAACGAGCGCAGACATCGAAGTGACGAAAGTGTCATCATCGATGAAGCCGATCCAGCGGGTATTTTCGTTACGATGGGCATACATGATCTTCACGAGGGAGAAATAGCGCTCTAAAATCCCATCCTGGCGGTCAAGAGGCTTCACGAGTGTGACTTGCATGCCGAGACCCCGCATACGCGACTGCAATTCAGCCATGTGCTCCGGGTTTGGTGCGCTGTCATCAGGTCCAGTAACCACAACGAAAAGTCTCGCATTGGTATGCGCAAGCCAGCGCTCGAAAAAGGGTAGAGAAACCTCCAGGCGGCCCAGGGTAGTTGCAGCGCCGAAAATGATATGGGACGCGTCTGCCGGAGCATCGGCGAAAGCAGGGACGTCTAGGAATAAAGGCTCTAAGCAATGTGGTAAGCCGGGCTCATCGTTATCCTTCCCGGGCTCGACGATTGTCAAGTCGCCAAATAATGGCTCGTCGACCTTAGTGATGGAGTCACGTTGAGCCTTTCCATTGGATCTGACCACGATGTCTCGCCGGGCATATTTGACGGGGAAAGGAATGTCAAGCTCATTAAGCCAGTCGAAGCTCCCTTGGCAAATGGTCTGCCGGGAAGGGTAGTGCTGTCCGAGAGCAAGTCGATTCGGATTAGGAGGGCCTAAGTCATCTTCGAGATTGGCGAATTGAGGACTGTGATCCGTTGGAAGTTGCCAGAGGGTGAAGGTCAAGGCTAGAGAAAAAGCACAAAATATAACGATGGCTCTACGGCTCCGGAAGATGGCCGGTACCCTCGGCGCCAAGAGGTTGGGAAAATGAATTCTTCCAGAGGATAGTAAGGATCGAAGATGGCTCGCCATAGTGACTGAAGACTATGGTGCCTTGGTCGTGCAACCTGCCACCTGTCGGAAAGGACACGGCAAAAAGAAGATAATTCTTCTCAGCCGAGACAATTCCCGCATTGCATCGCATGGCATCGCATCGGAATCTCATGCATGATCTTGCACCAAGGACTGTTTGATAACGCCCTTCCCCATTGTTGTTGCTATCTGTTGAACATGATTTCCGATCATTCCTGCTAAGTGCTGATGCACTTCTGCAGTCTCCTACTTTCCAGTAGCGACAGCCGCCAGCACATCTGAAACGTCATAGCGGAAAGAGCTGCCCATTCGGCAGTCTTGGCTCGACGCTAGATAAAACGCTATAGCTAAAGTAGCTTAAGCTTCTATTGCAACGGCACTTGCAACCGAGGTGGACGGTAATTGTGCGCATTATTAATCCGTTTCACAAATCACAATCCGGTCTTCACACGGATCTTCCCGTAACAAACAACTCTATCCTTTTAACATCTTGGCAACGGTGCATTTATGAGTACAGCTTATTTTACGTCTTGGCAACGGCGTCCAAGCTTGCTTGAAACCTCACTCTGTCCGCAGCGGCAAGAGTATATCCCCCCCGCCCCTCCCTCCAGTGCGAGCGAGTGCCAAGCATTGCCAGTAGGTTGATAGCTCTATTTGCAGGCCTCCTTGAGAGAGATATAGGCTTGAAGCCCCCTATCCTTGCTGAAAACCTTCACTAGACATCTAGCCCAAAGCACCGAGTCAATTGCCTAGCTCAATCTGTCCTGGAAAAGCTTGCCGAACCTATAAAGAAATCATTGGCTTCGTAGACGTGACCGATGACATTGGGTGTAGAGCGAAGACCTGAAAGATCCAATGCACACCAATCAAGATACTTGCCGCTCCCTCACATCTGACGCTAAAGTTTGAAGGGGCGCAATTTCCCTCCTGCCCTTGTGATTACATGTCGCACAGGCTGTGGTAGACCGATAAGGGCATGTGGCACCGACATCGAAGTGCACTTCTGACGACTTTAACGCTATGGTGCACCTGCGCAAAGATTGAGATGTCGCCAGCCGCCGGAATGTTTTGCAAACTCTGTCCAAAGCCTTTGCAAAACGCAACATAGAGCTGCGAACTCTTATTTAGGCTAGGAAGGGACCGAACAAGCTAGCGAGTAAAAAAATATGTTCAAGCTCCATGCTCTCTTATTCGCCGCATACTGGGCTGAGCTCAGGTGTCAGATGGACTCCCTCACACAGGTTTCGAAATTTGCCTTGCAATTCGTGACCCTAGTTATTCTCGCTTCCGTACAGCATTAGCTCAAGCGTGTCAATATCTGGGTTGTGCTCTCAATAATGGCTGAGATGCTCGCGAAGTACTCCAAGCAATCCCGCTTTCTCATTGATAAGCCAGACAGAGAGCTAAATCATCTCTCGGAAAAGGCCAACGCATTCGAGGAGGTAGTCGACCTGCCAAGTGTATTTTTGGGAGCTGGCGATCTGACTCAAAGCATGACAAATGGAATCTCGAGCCTGACAAAGCTCTCATGCTCGTGCAGCGACAAGGCTCCCTGGGTGACGAACTAGGGATTGTGATTCAGATACCAGCAATCACTCTGGCAGTGAGAATGAACTGGTATAGTGAGTTGTTCGAGGTCTCATTGACGTGCGCAAGAGCTTTTCCCAGACCATCAGCGCGTAAGTATTCGACCCCGGTGCCGGGCCAGTACCGAAAGTCGGTACTGTGGGCGTATCCGATTGCCAATTGCGTAATAGTCGCAAGCTGTGAGATGACCAGCGCTTGGAAGGGGTCACTGTTGCCGTTCTCGGCACCACCCCTCTACCCATTGGGCTTCTGCGCCGGTGATCACCGCGGTTCTAGCAACATCGGAGACAACCTCCAATTCCTGATTGCGGAACCAAAGATGTCTAGGGAAGTACTAGCTCTTAATATTCCTTGTGCCCACTATCTAAAATTGCTCGACGTGGGAAGCTATTGCGTGGGCGGGTACAACTCTTGAGAGCAAGACATGGGGGGGGTATCGAATTTTGGGATTCGCCATCTTAGATAGATGTCAGCGTACAGCCTTGACTGTGCAATTTGCTGGAGCCGCTTGTAAACACGCAAGACGGTCGTTTTGTCCGCTGCAGGAAGATTGGAGCACACGGTGAGAAGTATGTCAGTCGAGTTCAGTGGGGTGAGCCATGGTTGCAAGAAGCATGAGGCTTCAATCCTGCTGTAGGCTCGAAGAGTTGTCTGCAGTGTGTGTGACTGTATCCAAGACCTGAAAGAAGAGAAGGAAAGGGAGCTCGACCTGGAGTAAAGGACAGTGTTGGCGCGTCGCGAATCTTGAAAAAGACTGAACCGCATACTCTCCATATAAGGTTTACCTTACTTACCGAAGTCACGTCGTGGTATACACACGGACATGGAGCATACTTCGTGATTGTTTGTCCTGTCTGTGTAGCTGCTGGAAGGAGTTGCTGATCAATGAAGAAAGGTATGGTTTGAGGGTCGGAAGTGACTAATCGACGAGAGAATAGTAAGGAATAGTAACGTCCTTCGACATTTTGATATCGATTCTCGTGAGTCGGAACTTATGGCTTTTCAATGATGTAACATTGTGGGGCTCTGTGGAGCCTTGACTGGGCATTAAGATGATGCTTTACTTTCCTATTCTACCAGGGAGATGAGTATGGGAGCACACGAAACATCATTGCGGCGCATACTCTGGACGTGACAAGCACGACTCGAGGATAATGCAAGAGGCCGAACAAGCGTACATCGTTTGATCCTCAGAAAGCTCTTGCATTGAAGCGAGAGTCTTCGCTGTCTAGAGCTAGAGCTTAAAATCGAAAAGAGTGCGGTGGATAAGGATCGAAGGACAAGCCGAAAGCGGGCGCGCCGCAAGCCCAACAAAAGACCTCAAGCACTGACTCGAGATCAGTCTCATGATCTACTGACCGACGGACTCGCACTACTATAAGTCTTGTGCGGATCGAACACGTGTGTCGGAGGAATTTTCCCCCGACCCTGCTATGCGACAACATCGCGCGTATTCCAGGTGCGCTTGTAGGTACGCTGTTGACGAAGATCCTGTGACACGATGAAACGACTAACGATTCGTTGGTGTCCACTGGAGTTAATCTCTTCAACGTAAAAGTTTCTTCCCCACGGGGACTGGACAGCCGCCACGAAAGACTTTCTGCACTATCATTGCGAGAGAAGTGGATCTCATCTCGTTGCTTCTGGCGGACATGAGGAACGCGAGAGCCATAAGTCACCTCTGATGCACGCACGCCCTTTCTCCGTGGGGAAAGAATGTTATTCAATACTTACGCTTTTCTTTCACTCTCCGCGATACTCGCCCCCATCGCTTTCTCCTCCCCAACAATCCAATTGCCAAGCCTAACCCCCAACCAATCAATCACACAACCAACCAACCTCACCTCAACCTCCAACGACAATCTCCACTGCATCGACCTCCTCAACCCATTCTCCCGCCGACCCAAATACTCCGACTGCACTTGGGCAATCCGCCAGCTCCCCGGCTTCCCCGCTACCGGCGCATTCCACAACCAGGGCGACGACGACCCTTTCAAGCTGCCTGTGGAGTCGACATTCAGCAGTTGCACCGTCCGAGTGGAACTCCATGCTGCTAGCTCCACGGTGGCCGCGTCCTGGCCCGGCATCAGCACCAGAGCGAACACACTGAATCGGTGTTGTCTGCGGACGACTTTCCCGATATACAAAGGGGGCTGGGCGACGTATGCGAAGGATGAGCGGATTATGATCTCTTTGGGTAAATCTGATCGGTATGGTGGGGGAGGCAGTGTAGATAGTGCGAGATGATGTGGATGTTGCGACGACAGGATATAGGGATATGTGGCTGGCAATGCAAAAATGACTGTTGGCCCTTCAGTGACCGATCATAAAACCCTGTTATATCTCATACCAAGGTGTTGCTATGCTCTAACCCATGTCGCGAGCACCCTTCAAGACAACGCCGAAGACATCAAATCAATAACCGGACACACGTCAATCATTTTAAAAAATCATATGTCGTGTAACATTTTTGGGGGGAACGGCCATATCCAGATACCACGCGCGAGGAGCACCCAGAAAGCACCAACTTTTTTTGCAGGCCGCTCGCGATCTCACCAGCTTTAGTAACAGGAAACCCTTGCTTTGATTCGCTGAGCCGCCTGTATCCAGAAATATTGAGAGCCATGCCGGATGCAAGAAACGGTTAAAAGAACAGTCAAGTACGGCATCAAGCTACTGACAAGCGCTAGCGGCGGCATTTTCAATAGCAATACCCAAAGGTACGACGACACTAAGACCACTCACATCTGTCTCGGACTTGGAGAACGGAATCTCCTGTTTCAGCTTAGCGTTTGTGGATGGGTCTAACGATGAAGCTTCAACGGCAATCCCGCGCTGTAATGAAACAATCCATTTCTGCTCCGCCATGGCGACTTAGTAGGGAAATACCACCACGAATGGCAAGCAAGAATTGAACGAAAAAGATTGAAGGACCATTGAAAGAAGTTGAATTCGGTGTGACAGGTTGAATTTTCCTTAAGCCCTAAGTGTGTACAGGAAGAACGTCCAGCTCTCACATCACAGCATCACCACCACCATTATGGCTGTGAAAACCACCAGCAGTGACCCCGTCCTGCTTTACAGGACTACCCTTCAAATGTCACCCCCAATGTTACTCCACTCCACCGTATAACGGCCTGCGTTGAATTCTCATCATCTCCCATTCCCCGTTAAACTCCTGTCTCTGATGTTCTTCCCTCTAACCCATAGCGCAGCCAGTGCTGTAAAATGCTTCCAAGAACGGTATTAAAGACAGTCCGAATCGTGAATGCGAAATAAGAAGGAATCCTCTTCAAGACCCCTCTGACGCCGGTATTATTCCCAAAAGGTACTCCTGCGCGATATTGCGAAAACGACCATAGGAACTATTGTGAACGACGGCGAGGACGAGACCCTCAGGGGTACTCATCCGG